GTTAGTCTCTCCATGCTGCATGACCGCTAACTTTTTCAACCATGCTGAAGCCCCACAGTCTCACTGTATGGTACTCACAGATTTTCCAAGCATTTTTAAGATTTACATCTTCTTTGGAGATTCAAGGCTGAGAGCACTTCTTGTTTCCACTACAAGTGGAAACACAACAGTAAAGGGTCCAGATCTTACCTCTGACACAGGTTTTCTGTGAGTCCATAGAAGAGCTTTGGCTATGTCTACCTTAGTCAAGTGCAGACACATCTGAGGTTGTGCAGACTTTTGACTGGTACCTTCAGAAAGTGCAGTCCTGCTGCAGGAATAGCTGAGTTAGGTGCAACATTGCACTGCGCTACCTTTCCAATCTACCATAAACTCACACTTCTCAGCATCACAGCCTTTTCACAGGGCAGCCTTCCTCTTAAACACTCTGGGCCTTAGATTCCCATCTTTAGTGTACAATTGTTAGCACTTTCCTGAATCACAGAAGCCCTGTAAGGATAAATGTTGGTGAGGGACCCTGATCATTTGGCAACAAAAAGTACTCTTGACAGAGTTTAGACCCAATGCTGATACTCTAAATTGTGGATCAACTCTGACCCAACTTCTGCCACTGAATTTCCTGATTTTCAAAATGCGTTTTGCCCAGGCAACATGATCTGCAGAGACTTGTTCTCTTCAGGGTTCAGTGGCAGTCCAGATCTAGACAGGATTGAAGGTGCCCAGGAGTAAGAGTGATATTTTCCAAGTAACACAGGTTTTGAGAGTTTTACTGCAGTGCTCTGGAGCTTTCTGACAACCAGGCAGGAAAGAGCCTATGTTCAGCCAGAAATCTGCTTGAAACCTGGTCTCTGACAGACTAATCTATCACACACCAGAGACTTTCAATGAACTCAGGGTGCCAAACCTGCTGGTTCAGGGTCCTAGAGTATATTTACAATTGGCCATGTTTCTGCAAGCTGCAACTTGAAACAATTCTTTTGGGACATCAGTCACTCCATTCAGTCTTCATCTTCTAAGCTGGCATGATCCAGAGCTGGTTTAAATCTTACACAGCCAGGAGCAATAATAGCCAGGAAGGGCTGTACCCACGCTTCTGTGCTCACCCTCAAACAACCCCTGAAAGTTCATATAGCACCTTCCCTACTCCCCAAACTAATATCTCTTTTCTTACACATATCTACTCAGCATTAGTAGACATGTTCAGTTCTAAATCAAGTATGAAAATCACCCACATCAAAGCATCCTGACTTGAATCAGCAGCAGTTTAGTAGCTTTACATTTATGGCAAAGAAGTCTGGCAGTCCAGAAAGACGTGCATTTTACTTGCCAGTTGAGACCCTTGGTGCAGCCTTTGCTCACTACTCTCTACCTCCAGGCTCTTCTTGGTAATGACTTCTTGTGACAAGGGCTCCTTAGCTGCGGTTCCCCATGCAGCAGCCGCAAGAGATTATCCTTTCCCACCTCCTGATGGAGCTGACATCCCTCTTGGCAGGCAGAACTATGAGGACTTCTGGTCATGATGCTTTCTGGCTAATATTCTGCAGTAACACCTCCACTTGCTGCGAATGGCCAACCCTCATAGCCATGCCTCTCACATCCGCAGCCCCAGCAGGCTACTGCCCTGAGCTGACACCCCCACAGCTTCCTTCTGGGAAAAGTCAAATGTTTCCTTTAAGGCTTCCCAACCACTCTCCATGCAGCCATTTGTTTGGGTATCATCCTCCTGTTGTCCAAGCTGTTTCCCTTCAGCTTGCTGTCGTGCCAGATTGTCACATGGTGTCTCAACCGTCCTCCTTTAAACCTTTTATGTTGTCCTTGCCAGGGAGCTCTTGTGAAGCATGGTTTTTGGCTTGACTCCAAGCAGGGTCTTTCATATCATCACTTCTTTACTGGCTCTTGTCTCTGCCCAGTCAGTAATGAGATAGTCCTGAGGAGAAAGGCTCCTTGAGGAGGTGGGATGTCACAGCTACACTATGTAGCTCCTCCACAAAACTCACCCTCCCTGGGGACTAGGGAGGTGAAATCACTGCTGTGATCATATTTTCAAGTTTTTTCTCAGTAATAATGAGGTCTAGAAAATTGTTTTTCCTCCCATTAAAATAAGCTCAAATAGTAATCACATGCATTCAAAAGCTGAGAAAAGCAGCAAATATATCAAAACAATTACTCATTCACGGAAGAAAAACAGTACATGAAAATACTAACACTACATTTAAAACACAAACAAAACACGCAAACTATGAGTCAAAGTGAAGGTTATGAATTTTTCAAATGTGTGTTTTTATATTTAATGAAATGTGGTTCATAATATGGGTAGTGTGAGATTTACAATGTTCTAAACTATTCATATCCTTACTCGCAAGAGTTTGGATTTTACAAATGATGTGACAAGTAAATACGTTGCTTAGAAACCATGGTGGGCTTTTGAAACTAATTCTTTTGTTTCTGGGATTTTCACTTGGCAGGTGTTTGGTGCATCGGTGTTATCAAACTCCTCTGGTTTGCACTCAGACAGCACCAGCCATTAGGGGAGGGCTCTCAGATAAGGATAAAGCTTAAAAATCTGAGGCTTGTGTTATTCCAGCTCCCTGTCTGCATGGCATGCCCTCAATACCTCTTACAGTTTCAGTCACGCTGTGTCCAATTCCTGAAACCAAAACCACTCATGAGCCCCAGGATCTTCTTTTCTTCTAGGAAGCATTTTTTGTGAAGCTTTGAAACACAGGATGAACTAAGCCAAAGAGATGCTGTGGTGAGGTCATACTGCTTTTAAATAGAGACAGAAAAAACTGGTCTGAAATAATCTATAATGCTATCCTCTGAGAGAATGATGTTAACCAAGAAATTGAGAAGTGGGAGTACTTATAAACTCCCCCCCAAGCCAACCTCCTTCCATAACCCCAGAATAGCTGGTGTTACTACTAATATGATCTACAGTAGCACATTTAAACATGGTTAACATTTAAATTTAGGTTTCATAAATTACACCCTGTAGAGATGGATAGAGACAGCTCCTATCTCTTTGAGGTATTGTTTCATTTGCAAATTCAAGCAGATGGTGCATGAGCAACTAATGACTCAAAAAATCACCCCTAAAAATAGTCTAGAACAAGGTGTGGATTTATCAAGGAAGGAGGGAACAGATAAGGCTTCACTTCCCCTTCCCATTTCTCTGGCATGTCTCCAAGAGCTCAGTGAGCCCAGAGCTGTGCAGTGCTGAGGACCCCATCCACACCCCTGTGTTCAGGCACCTCTCCGTCACCTTACACAGGGTGGAAATGAGACAGTGAAGAGGGAAAGGGCTCAGCACTCTCCACTTTTCCCTATACCAAGCCTGTATCCAACCCCCCTGAAAACCACCCTGGGAAATTATGTTGTCCATTAACTCTACCAAGAATTGCTCAGCAGAGCTGTGTAGCACCACTGAAACTTTCAGTCTCCCGGTCAGGTGGGTAATGCTTCATGAAAACTGACTTTTCCAAGTAAATTCTATAAATACTTGTTCCTGCATCCTCATGAGGCAATACACTGCTATATATTGTATTTCCAGCAGTAATTCAACTTTGCTGTCATTCCCATGTTTATAATGATATTGTAGCCTGTTGTCCAACCACACTCGTACAACTCTGGTGGAGACAGGGACGCCCTCCAGGACGTGTTGCTGGGGTTTGAGCAGGAGGGGTGAAGCATGTCTGTGTTAGCAAGGTCTGTGCAGGGGGAAACCTGCTGTGCAGCTGAATTATGTAAACCATAAATTCCTCAGAGCGATGTGCCTGTGTTTGTGCAATGCCTGGCAGAAGGCACTGTTCACAGCCATCCCCAAAGTAATGCCATTCTGAACTAATAAATATTAATAATTGTTGGTTAAAGATTCAAGCTCAGGTAAAGCTGTGGCTTGAAAAGCAAAATGCTTCTGTAGGAAAAGCAGGAGGTCCTCTGGCAATTTGAACAGCTACAGGAAGGTGTTATTATTTACTGCACAGAAAATATATATTCGATCACATTTCAGTTGTCTCTGTGAAGCAAAACCCTCCCTCTCTGCTACACTCTTGCTCTTTTCTCTTGTTCATCTCCTGAGCTCTTCCAGCTCTGCTCCTCACCTCTCTGTCCTTTAATGAAGAATAACCTGGCAAGAAAGCAGTCTTCTCCTCCTTCATTTTCATTAATAAGTAGAGACTGCTACCACAATGTTATCTGATTTTAAATGTTATACTTAAACTGATTTGTTAGACCATGCTTAGTCTTTTCTTTTTTGGATTGTCTTATCTGTTTATTGTGCAATAAAAAATAGTTGCTGTTGGGGCTTATGATTCAGCTACAACTGACATACATTATTTCACTGAACCATAGTTCTTTTCCCTGTTACAAGTACAGCTCTAAATTTGTTAGAGCTTGCCTATGTGTGTTTCCACACTCCTCTTATGGCATCCTAAATAAAAATTATGTTTTAAAATAAAGCAAAATATATGCTAATTATATACAATGGGCCAGAACAACAGAGTTACACAAAAATGCATTCAGTGAGGATCTAGCTATGTCAGCAAGTTGAAGCGAACAAGCTGTGGAATGACTTCTGAGAAGAAAGCAATCATCTGCATTGCAACTACAATGTATACAAAGGTACATAGATAAACCTGCTACAGAGGGAAAGTCTGGCCATGGCAAATAAACCATAAAGTCAGATTCTGTGCTGGCAGAGGAATGGTGCAGAGTGGTTTACTATAACTCTTCTAACATTCATGATGCAAACAGAGATGCTAGCATTTGGCTTCATTAACCAGTCATTTTGCTTGCATCTTTTTTTTTTTTTCCTTAATTCTAGTAATTTTCTCTTCTTTGCAATTACAGTAGGAGTCCAAATCCCTCTACGTAAATTACAGCTTTCTTTTTGAAGGGGTAGACCAGCCACATAAGCTAGAAACACACTCTCCTCTGAAGCCAGAACCTGAAGGGAAAGAGCTTGAGCAGCAGCCCTGGGCTAATTAAGATATAATCTTTACCTTGCTCCCACAATGAGCTGGTTCCTGTTGGCATCCAGTGCAAGCTGAGAAAAGTCATGCACACCTGGATAGGTGAAATTCGACACCCAGGGCTTCAGATCTGCAAGGAAAATGAGAAAGCGCAAAACAATAAAGCTGCTCTAGAAGCAGTGAGTTCACCCGGACATCCACTAATGGATTTCCTACCACGCTATCTGTCACGGAAAGGCTAATTAATAATCTATTTAAGGGGTTTCTATTTATTCCAATTCTCTGCAGAGTGTGCAAAAACCCACACATGCAGAGCTGTCTCAGCAGTAATTTTCACATCCACGATGGAGTGTCAGCATTGGTTTTGGAGATAACAGCAGCTCGGGTTTACTTCTGTTAAAACTGATGAACCATCTTCAGTGCCAGGGTTATGTGGTGTAATGGGACTAGGCTGCCTGCCATGACACCTCCACAGCCTTGCCTTCTGTGCTAAGCAAAGGGAAATGGCTGCCCTCCAGAAAAACAAGGTGGCATCAGCTGATTCAAAAACCAAGTCAGAGTAGAAGCGATCTGCACCCAAGACCTGGCTGCTCCAATGACAGGTTTTACCTTCTCCTTCAGGTTTTAGGTTCTCTTCTAGGTTTTACTTTATCCAGTTAAACCCTCCTTAATTTAGACTGGTGGGGGGAGGAGCAGAATTCTATCACGCTATCTATATGGCTGAGGGATTGCACAACTTTGAGACTGGCTCTATCAATGAGCTTGGATTTCACAATCTAGGCAATTGTCCAAACTGCAATCACACAGGTTAAATGCAAAGCAATAGATTTAGGTATGCTACGCTCATGAAGACAAAGCTTTTCTAGAAGCTACATCTATTAACACAGTATCAATTGAGAGACCTAGGGCAGATAGTCTTGATGTAATAAGAATTACACCTGTTTAAAAAGCTGGATTACTATTTTTAAGGTACTCTCAGGCATGATGCTGTGGCATTCAAAGAACCCCACCTTTCCATACAGTTACCAACTTTGACCTTCGTATTATAGATCACAGAATTTCAACCTCTCACGTTATATCTTTACTGCATGAAATAAGAGGGGATAGATTCATATGTATTTTCAGAAAGTCACCCACTTTTACCATGATGACTTCTCTTGAGAATTTATTCCAACTGTCAACTACTCTGGCTGTTAAATACATGAAGAATACCAAATATCTGAGGGAACAAGGCACAAATGAGACTAAATCAGTGTATCTGTAATCCCTCTGTGGCCTGTGCCTCATTCAAGGACTGCATGTTAAAGATCCAGGAGACTCAACATGAAAGGTAATATCTTCTGGCCTCATGCAACAGGATATCAATACACACACCAATGACTTGATGACTCATAACAAAAATGATGTAGTTCAGACCAGTTCAAAAGAGCCCTGAAAAAACATGCTCCATTGTCATTTTATATCCCCAAAGATAAATTGAGAAGTCTTACTGAAGGCAGTCAGGTTTAAATGTTTTGTTGTAGGCATTAATTCCCCTTTCCACAGGGGTAAGATGACAATGATGATGAGGAATCTAACTAAGGCCTTTGGCGTCTTGGCATGCTTTGTAGTTGTGCAATGGTTTAAAACCTCTGAAGCAGGGATATTTGCTGAGAGATTTCAAGTCCCTTCTCCCTCCAGGGATGGATGAAATGTAATGAAACCCTTCAGTTACTAAAACCTTAAGAAAACACATATAAATGTCCCTACACTCCACTCGACCCATCTCTTTTTCCAAAGCGGAGCCTTGTCCTGGAGCTTCGGCCTTTGCCCTGAACACCACCATATCTCATAACAGCTCCTAAGCCCCCTCATCATAGAGCTGGACACTGTCAGGCCTGGTCCCATGCCCTGCTTAACTGAACACTGTCAGGGCCTCTCCAACAATGAGACCCCCATCCTTACAATCTAAAACCTCTGCTGCCAGGAGCTGGAGGCTTCCAGCTCTTCTCAGCATTCCAGTCGCACTGCATAACCACACAAAACCCATGTACCTCCTCTGCTGCTCAATGAAAAGGCACAAGTTAAGGAATAACTCACATCATCTAACCTTCAAGCATCTCCACCTCCTACACTCTTCTGGGACCCTTAATGATATACCAGCACCAGGGAGGAACTGCAGTTTCACCTCTGGCATTCTCCTAACTAATGGAACTCTGTCTTCTTTACCTGTAGCTCTTTAGCTGCAGAGACATTTCCAAGCCAAGCAGCAGAACCAGCAACAATAACACCTTGCAGGAAGGCTAGCTGGCTGACATGTGCTGCAGATCTCCTGGCATTTCTGTTGGCTGATGGGAGTGGGAATAGGGGATTGCTGTATAATGATGATACCTTTTGAGGATCCTGCTTTTAGGCCATAATTTCTCTTGTCATTCTACTTCCTCTCCTACCAACTTTTCCCTACTAACTAACCCACTATTACAGTACAGTGGCAGGAAGAATATTTCTTCATCTGCTGCTCCAAGCAAAAACCTCATCATTTCAGGGGTCAGTTCTTCAGGAGTCAGAACTCATCAGTTCTTCCTTTTAATGGCAAGCTCTGACAAATTACAGCTAAAAATAATTAAAAAAAAAAAAAAGGCAATATGTATCTTGAATCTTTCCATGTTGGCTGAAATGTCAATCTAGCCCAAGAAAGAACAGGCAGTGTCTTGATTTCTATTACTACTGCAGGTAGTACAACTTATAAAGAAACCCTTCCCATTTATTAAATTAAAGACTGCAAGGCATGCATCCTCATAGGAAAATTAAGCTTTTATAGGCATGTAGTTGGAGATTATTAAACCCAGCATGGTCCCAGTTAGGAATGTCTAAATGTGAGTTGTCAGAATTAATGCCAAATGGCACATTTTCTTTCTCAACCTTCTTTCTTCCTATTAAGAGGGAAGGGATAAAGTGGAATGGAAATGCAACCAAGAGTCAGGACATGGGTCTTTTTTCATTTGACACATTCAAATCCACTGCTCACACCATAGGCATCCCTAAGGAGAGTTCCGGATTTTCATTCTGAAACTAGCTCCGTTCTGCAAAGTAAATGCTGCCCTGGTTCTATCCCATACTAACTGAAGTTTACACATATGGACCCAATGAATACCAGGATTTGACCTTTCTCAGAAAGCTGATTTTTCCAGTGCTGACTCTTTAATTTGGCTGGAAACCTTCAATGCTGGGGCATGTTTACATTTGCAAAAAGTATCTGTTTAAAAACAGTATGAAAAATTAAAAACCAAGGCCCTGGCTTTGCATGTCAGCAGCAGGAGCCGGAAAACTAGGAAATACATGGCTTAGGGGCAAAATGTTCATCAAGGCCTCCTTTGTGCTTCTCATCTCTAATCATTTCCAGGGGGTTAAACATCCATGCTCTCACTTCCTCCACACAAGGACCAATGAACAAAAGTTTAATAGTTTTCAGCACTGTCCATTGCCAGATGTCTGATTCAGAGCCTTTAAAGCTCTGCAAGTCCCTCCATAGCTCAAGGTGGTTCAAGTATCCAGCTGCAAAGACAAAGCTTTGCAAGAAATGTAGGTCTGCAGACACAGCTGTGTTCAGGCTATTATGCATGCTTAAGACAAGGTGAAAAGAGGCCCGCTGCCACTTCAGAGGGTGGTCCCTGCAGCCTGCTAGCACACTGCTCTGCACCGGCTTCCTGACAGTACACAACTGGGATGAGGATTAGTCAACTGCGCAGAAGATGGTGTGCCAAACTGCAGGAGCTGGGTTTAAGGGCCTGATCCAGAGGCTCTCGAAATCATTGGCTGTTTTCCACTGAGCTTAATGGATTTGGATCAGCTTCTAAAGATGTGGTAAACCTGGTAATACTTGAGCCTTCATCTCCTCAAAACCAGCTGCTCCCCACCTCACACTGTGTACTTTGGAGGAAAGAAGTATGTAAACGCTGAGACTTCTGTGTCTGAAGGACAGCATTTACTGCTTCATCTCACTTGAGCCCAATTGTAGCTCCCATCTACGTCAGGCTGTAACAGCTTTGTGCATCCAGGACACATCACACAAGAGCAGAGAGGTTAAATGCCCATGTCTTGACAATTGCAAAGCCATAGCTAGGAGCATGGCTAACCACTGTGTTATTCAATACCTCTTCTGGAATAATTCTCAGCATGGATTTCCTAGTTGGAGCCAATGAAACTAAGCTAAACAGGACCAATGTTTCTTTGTGCAAAATGAGGGTATACCCTCATACACAGACAAACCATGCTTCTGTCTGATCATGCTCCTATCCTAGGATTGCAGAGAAAAGCTTCAAAGACATCATTAAAAGAACTTAAGAAAGGAAGACAGAGAAGTTGAACAAGAAGGAAGGACCTGCTGTCTCAGACCAGCCTTTGCTTCAGTTATCCTTAGTATTCAGAACATTTTTCACAAAGTAGGCAGTTGTCCGCTAAGACTGAGGCCAGAGTTTCCCTTATGTGTGTGCCACTGATCAGAACCCATCAAAGACAAAATGAACAAGGTTGCAACCAAAGATCAGAAGGCTAATGACTACCCATGCTACCACCTGTCTTCTCAAACACAGCAAATGTAGATACTTCCAAGAATGAATAGAGGTTAAAGTCAAATTACAGCATTGTCTTTATTAGACTGACAATAAATCATATTCTAGCATCAACTTCATTTTAAATTTCAGCTTTATGTTGTAGGTCACACCACAGGTTAATGCAATAGTCTTTGGAAAATAACTGTCACTCCTACCCAATGCTGAGATGACAAAAGTAGCCCCCACAACACAAAACCACTCCACAATTCAGCAAATTTATCAGGGGAAGGAGAAATGTTTTGTTGTGCGGGCAGAGCTGAGCAAAAAATGTGTCAGCACTCAGAGCTCAACTTTACTCACGAGTCCAAAAAACTCAAGCTGGCTTTTTCCCAGAAGTCCTCCTACACATACATATCACCCTGCTGTCTTGTCTTCCCATCACCACCTCCACCTCCTTACTGGTATTCTCTCTTTCTTTAATCTGATCCATTGAAATCTTAATTGTACATTAAATACGTCCTTATCCCAACTGCTGCAATTTTTAGCTTCATTGGCTTCTTCTCCACTCAGTTAGGAGGACACAAAAGGCTGTTGACAG